ATGTCCAGAATGTCACGGCGAAGCTAAGTAGTGCTATCTACACCATCCGAATGCTTAGGAAAACTGCAACCTACGAAGCAGCGCATTGTGCTTACTTTTCGTTGTTTCATTCTGTGGCCACATACGGTATATTAATATGGGGATCGTCAACATCTGCAAGCAGTGTTTCTGAAACAAAAAGAAGCTGTAAGGGTGCTTTATGGAATAGGTTACCGGAAAAGTTGCAGGCAAATACTCCTTAATAATTATTGCTTCGAGATGGATTTTATTCCATACATGAATATATGTCAATGTAATGGATATATCTCAACATATTGCACGTTAATATTATATCTTAAATTAATGTAATACTTTCGACAAGCCTAACACTTTATTTTGTATTGTTTAGGCAATAAAGTAAGTATTAAATACAGGTAAACGTCGTTTTGCGCCGGTTCGATGTACGCCGATTCACAATTACGCCGGTTGGCACCGGCGTGGGATTCCCCAGGAGATTCATACAGCAGATTTTTACAGACTGGTATAAAAATTATTTTTGCCCTACTGTGCTTAAATTTTGTGACCGAAATAACCTTCCAAAGAAAGCAATCCTCCTATTANTCCAATTCAATCCAATCCTTCTTAATACGAACTTGCGAAGTTGAAATATTTCCATTGCTATCCCTATAATAAATGCTATGGGCTGCAGCTGGTAAAGCTGTATGATAAGATTTGATGCTATGGTGGGATCCACTTGTATCTCTTTGATAATCATAACGTGAAAAAGCTCCTTTTAATTTCGCGCCTGAATGCAAAATTTCAATATTTTCTTGTACGGCTATGTTACCCCAATGAGAAATTTCAATTAATCTTTCGATGCGGGTTACCGACAAAAACGGCGCGTTACTTTCAAAATGAACAGTCATTTGATCATGGGTTAAACTTTCTATGTTATGATAAGGCCCATAATTAATTGTAGAATCAGATTGGCTCACCGGTTTTAATTTTGTGTAACTCTCAATTGCGCGAGAATTTAATGTTAATGTTGTACTTTGTTTGGTGGTTTTATAAGGTGAATAAAAATAATGACTCCCAAAATAGCGTACCAATTGTCTATCTTTTTGGGTGATTGATACGGGATAAGGCGTTAAAGCGTTGGTGTAAACGTATTCGATGACCACATTGGTAGAACGTCCAGCATTTAATGGCGAATTTAATTTTACTTTGTAGGTATCCTCACCATCCTTAATCTTCGTCAATTTCAACTCGGTTTTATCGGAATCTCGGGCTGAGATGAACGAAAGTGATCCGATGGTGTTGGGTTCTGTGTAAACGTGGAAAGCCAGCACGGGATCGGTGCCGGTATTTTCTAAGGTTATAGTTGAGGTTATCTTCACTAATTGCGATGAGAGGTCGATTATTCTCTCGATGTTTTTATTTACCAGATTCTTATTTATCGATTCGGATTTCGATGAACCGCACAAAACGGCTAAAACCACGAGAAACGTCCACATTTTTAAAGGTTGTAAAAATTTCTACATCCAAATAGTTTACACGTCAAAGTTTCGATGAAGGGAGTGACATTACCGACATTCACCTTTCTTAATATCGACTTTTTTTAAAACATTTATTTATTTTTCGAAATGATTCCAATTAATTTTAATCAATTAAAAGAGTTTATTGTAAAAGAATACAGTGTTAAATCGCAAAGATGTGTAAAGAAATCTTGAGATGGTGGTGCCATCTATTAATAAAGGCAAAAACTGGAATTACCCAGTAAACAAATTTGCGTTTCAGAAACATTTCTGATACATATTATTGAAACATGAAATGTTTCTTCGACATATTTCTGAAACATAGTTGAATCGTGTCTGAAACTGCTAATGTCCGGCCCTTTTTATGTTTCATTGAAACGTTTCTATTGAAATGTTTCTGCAACATACAGTTGACAATTACGGTACATTACTAAAATGTTTCATTAACGGTTTTGAATTATTTCTGTTTACGTTTACATTACATTACTAGTATGTATCATAAACATTTAAATGTAATTTCTGAAAGGTTTCGTTGACGTTTCAGAAAACTTGAAGATATAATTTTGTTGGCGTTTAGCATCTGCATCCCAGACATCATGCTCATACATGCTTCCTCAGAAGATATGCAAGATATGCTGAGAAAGCATTTCTGACCATACCACCCGGGGCGCAGACAGTGGATGCTGCAACAAAATCATACCTTAAGGTAGAAAAACTAATAATAGAAGTACTATACTTGTTACTTACGCCCACTGTACCAAATTTCAAAATTATCCATCAATAATTTCTACGATTCTGTTTTCTCATTGATTAGGACAAATAAAGTAAGTATAAGAGTAGGTATGCATTAAATATAGTTAGTATATATTTATACAAAATATATTAAACTGGTAACTAAAATAAAATTCTTATTTGTAAACAAATTAAACATAAACATTCTAATAATAATTTATGTAGGTCATTTAAATATAAAGTTAAATTTAAGCCATATTAGTGGTATTTTTGATTTTTTTATCTGTTTATGTTTGAATAACCTAAAGAAATTTTTCTTCTCAAACGAGATTGTTTCAATTAAAACACATATATTTGTGATGTTTCCGCAGAGATCCCCAGCTTCTTCAGACTACAAGTAAAGAAGACCTATTTATTTTGTAAAAGTCTTATTGTTATAAGTGAGACCACATGTTGTAAAAT